GTATATATATATATATATATATATATATATATATACATACATATATATGAGTGTTTTGTCTTTCTTTTTAAATGATTTATTTTTTTCTTATTTTATGTGCATTGGTATTTTGCCTACATGGCATGTGTGTCTATGTATGTGAGGGTGTCAGACCCTCTGGAACTTGAGTCACAGACAGTTGTGAGCCACCATGTGGGTGCTAGGAATCGAACCCAGGCCCTCTGGAAGAGCAGCCAGTGCTCTTAACTGCTGAGCCATCTCCAGTGTTTTGTCTTTATGTATGTAAGTACATTGTGTGTGTGCCTGGTGCCTGCAGAGGACAGAAGTGGGTGCTAGGTCCTCTGGAACTGTACTTACAGATGGTTGTGAGCCACCATGTTGGTGCTGGGAAGGAAACCCAGGTCCTCTGGAAGAGCAAGTGCCATTAACCACAGAGCGATCTCTCTAGCCCATCTACCCCAACTTTTTGGTCTTGATTGGTTTGATTTCTTGATATAAAATCTCATTGTGTTGTGGAGGCGAGCCTTGGTTTGGGTTGTTTGGTTGGTTGGTTTTGGTTTTGTTTGGTGTGTATGTGTGTGGGGATGCACATGTAACCCTTCTGTGTCCTCTACCTAAGTGCTAGGATTACTAGCATGTGCTATCATGCCTGGTTTTTCAGTTTTTTATGTAGCTTTGATTGGTCTAGAACTCACTATGAGGTTGGGGCTGGCTGTGCAAAACTCCTGCTTCTGTCTTCCATGCATTGAGATAACCTAGACCCCCTGCTCAGATGTAGCCCATGGCAGCTCAGTCTCCATGGGTGTTCCCTAGTAAGGGGAGCAGGGCAGTCTCTGGTTGCCTGCTCTTTGATCACTTCCCCATGGCAAGGTGGCATTATTAGGTCACAGAGAAAGAAGATCCAGACAGTCCTGATGGGACCTGACCGACTAGGGTCAGATAGTAGGGGAGGAGGACCTCCCCTATCAGTGGACTAGGGGAGGGATGTGGGGGGAAGGAGGGAGGGAAGGTGGGACCAGGAGGAGATGAGGGAGGGGACTACAACCAGGATACAAAGTGAATAAATTGTAATTAATAAAATAATAAAAGATTTACTTATTTTTATGCTATGAGTACTCTATCTGCATGTACACCTACATGCCAGAAGAGGGCATCAGATCCCAGTATAGATGGCTGTGAGCCACCATGTGGTTGTCAGGACTTGAACTCAGGACCTCTGGAGGAGCAGACAGTGCTCTTAACCACTGAGCCACTCTTTTGTCCCGTTTGTTGCTTTGATCACACACCTTTAATCCCAGCACTTGGGAGGCAGAGGCTGGCAGATCTCTGAGTTCCAGGCCAGCCTGGTCTACAAATCAAGTTTCAGGACAGCCAGGACTACACAGATATACTTTTGTCTCAAAAAACAACAGGAAGGAAGGAAGGAAGGAAGGAAGGAAGGAAGGAAGGAAGGAAGGAAGGAAGGAAGGGGGAAGGAAGGGAAAAGAAAGAAAATAGTTTTCAATCGTTTTCTACCCTTTATTTTATGTGTGTGACTCTTGCTACATCAATGTCCCTGTACCACATGTGTGCGGTACTTGCGGAGGCCAGAAGAGGGTGTTTGGCTTCCTGTGGCTGGGGGTACAGATGCTTGTGAGCTGCTGTATATGCTGGAAATCCACAGGTCCTCTGGAAGAGCATCCACTACTCTTCAACTGCTGGGTCGTCTCTCCAGGCTCAAGATTTATTCTAAGCTGTGTGCATGTGGGGTGGGGGCGGGTGTGTGTGGAACACAGGGGCTTAGTGTCGAGAAGAGCCTGTCAGACCCCCTGGGGCTGGATGGTTCTGAGCCACATGACGAAAGTGCTGGGAACCCAGCTCAGGTTCTCTGGAAGGACAGCGGCCACTCTTAATCGCTGAGCTGGCTTCCTCTCCAGTCTCTGTGTTCTAATTCCTTCTGCTAGCCTGTATTTTTTGACTAGGGCATTGAGACCATTAATGTTCAGACTTATGGCAGGCATACGAATTCCTGTTATTCTGTTGATGTTTATCAACGTGGGCCAATTTCTCAGAGTCTGACACCGAGGCCCCTTGTATATTGAGTCTTGGCACTCTAATGGACCTCAAAGATCACTGTGGTTCGATGTCTACATCTTAGAAGACAAGGCCGTGAATCTTAGGGAGGTTGTGTATCTTGTATGAGCCTCTACAGTGAGCCAATGGCAAAGCAAAGACAAAAACCATACTCTCCTGACAAGTAGTCCTGGTCTCACTCTAGCTGCCCCCTGTGCCACAGGAGATACCAGCTGCAGCGCATCGTGAATGTGGAGAAGCGCCAGGACCGGCTTCGAGGGGGTCGATACCTCTTGGAGCTTGAGCTGCTGGAGGGCCAGCGCCTGGTACGGCTCTCCGAGTATGTGTCCACTCGAGGCTGGCGTGGAGGTGACCCCGCTGGCAGGGAGGACACAGAAGCCCGGAACCTGCAGGGCCTGGTCTGGAGCCCACGCAGTCGCCGCAGACACGTCCTGCATGCCCAGGATCCAGAGCCTAAGTTATGCTGGCCCCAAGGTTTCTCCTGGAATCACGGAGCCGTGGTCCACTTTATTGTGCCTGGTAAGCCTTAGCAGGGTGGGGTCTGTTTCCTTCCTTCCTTCCTTTCTTCCTTTCTTCCTTCCTTCTTCCTTCCTTCCTTCCTTCCTTCCTTCCTTCCTTCCTTCCTTCCTTCCTTCCTTATTTCCTTCCTTCCTTCCTTCCTTCCTTCCTTCCTTCCTTCCTTCCTTCCTTCCTTCCTTCCTTCCTTCCTTCCTTCCAAGATTTACTTATTTACTATGTATACAATGTTCTGTCTGCATGTTTGCCTGCACACCAGAAGAGGGCACCAGATCTCATTCTAGATGGTTGTGAGCCACCATGTGGTCTCTGGGAATTGAACTCAGGACCCATCTGGAAGAGCAGCCTGTGCTCTTAACCTCTGAGCCATCTCTCCAGCCCTGGGTCTGTTTTCTTGATGTGATCTCCCAAGGATTTGTGACCGAGGCCACCTTGCCAGCTGGATTCACAGAAGAAAACCAACAAATTGAGCATTATTGGGTGGTTATCAAAACAGTGGAGCTTAGATCCATAGCTGAGTTGAGGCCAGGGCTTCCTCTCCTGCTAGCTCTCGGGGTTGGCTGTGAGCACCGACTTGGGTTGTTGTTGAAGAAATAAGAGTGAGGTGTTGTATAGGGCGGGTTCTACTTGGATCTGATGGTGCTGGAGATCAAATCCAGCACCCGGCACATGCTAAACAGAGCACGGAGCCTCACCTCCAGTTGTAGTGAGAAAGGAAAACCCGGGACAGTGTGTAACAGGACAGGACAGGAGTGAGTAAGACAGGTAGGTAGTGGGTCTGTGAAAGCTGGGCAGGGCTGTGGTCAAGAGTCCCACCCAAGACTGTCTCCCAGGTGTGCAGAGAAGCCCCAGTGGTTGGCGAGCCCCGCCCCTCCTCAGGGTCTCTGTGCCACCCGCTAACGGATTCCTGGAGTTGCATCATTCCCTGGTAAAGCTTGATGGGACTCCTGACTTGGCTCACGGCCGAGAGGTGTCCGCCTCTCCTTAACTCTGCTGTTTTCTCCCTGCCTGACAGTGAAGAACCAGGCTCGCTGGGTGCAGCAGTTCATCAGAGACATGGAGGGCCTGTCTCAAGCCACGGGCGACTCACATTTCAACGTCATTATCACGGACTATAGCAGTGAGGACATGGATGTTGAGATGGCTCTGAAGAGGTCCAGGCTGCGGAGGTAAAGAAGACCATCCACTTTCCTGGTGTCCCGGGACTGCTGGTCAGGGTGATATCAGAAGCCACAGCTGGCTCTCCGGAGTACCAGTGTCCAGCTCCTGCCCACAGCCAGGAGCACCCACTCTCTATTCCGTACCATCCAACTTCCTTCAGGGACCTACGGCTGAATCCTCACTCTTGCCCCGCCTTTCTTTCTTTGCTGCAGCTACCAGTACCAGAAGCTGAGTGGGAACTTTGAACGGTCTGCTGGACTACAGGCTGGCATAGACCTGGTGAAGGTAATGGGCCTCAAGGGGGCTTGGGGAGGTGATCAGGGGACTAGTTAAGAGACAGAGAGACATTTGGGAGGTGTAAAGTAGTCAGCTACTTAGCACGGAAGGGATGGGGACACGGGACTTCGTTTGTCGCTTCCGTCACTGTAACAGGAGAACCTGAGTGTCCTTGTTTGCCTCCTATTTCTGTCATAGACACCATGACCAGAAGCAACTTGGGGAGGAAAGAGGCTAATTGGTTCACAGAGGATCACTGAGGGATGTCAGGGCATGAACCGTGGAGGGAAGGTGCCTATGGCCTTGCTCTTCATAGCTCGCTCAACTGTCTTTTCCCTCTTATTTTATTTTTTAAAATTAAAAACCATTCCAGATGGGCGTGCTCTGCCATGTGGGTGCTGGGGTCAAGCCCAGGTTCTCTGGAAGAGCATCCAGTGTTCTTAACCACTGAGAGGCCCCTCTCTAGCCTTTCATCTTGTTTTCTCTTACAACCCAGAGCACCTGCCCAGGGGTGGCACCAACCACAGTGGCCTAGAGCCTCCCACATCAACCAAAATGCCATGAAGACTTCCCCGAAGGTCAAGCTGATGGAGGCGTTTTCCTAAATGAGGGTTCTTCTTTCTGTATAACCCTAGCTTGTGTCAAGTTGACAAAAAAAGAAAGAAAGAAAAGAAAGATCAGCACACTGAATTAAATGAAGATAAAGTTTGTTATTTATTATTTGTCGTGCCCAGAATCGTACTCAAGGCCTTGCACATGCTAGGCAAGCACTCTCCTACTGAGCTACGTTCCCAGCTCTGGGGAAAGGTTTTTTTTGGTTCACAATCCATGGTCACCTTGCCCTGTTGCTTTTAAGCCTGTGGTGCCACGAGTCATGGCAAAGGATAGTGCTCGCTCCCATGGCAGCCAGGGAGTGAAAGAGGAAGGGGGTAGGACCCCAATATCCTCACACCTCCTGGTGACTTAAATTCTTCCCACTAAGCCTCATGTCCCACGGGTTCTGCTAGTTCTCAGTAGCACCACAGGCTGAAAAACAAACCTTTACCTCACAGCCATTGGGAGACGCTTCCAAGCCACAGCAAGGAGCATCCTTGTCACTATATCGAAGACCCAGCACTGCAGAGGGCCTAAGCAAATAGCAAGGAAGGTTTTTTTTCCAATGGTCGGACTCCTCAGCCCCCATAAAATATAGGGCAAAGGTTAGGTATTGTGGCCCATGCCTGTAATCCCAGCCCTCGAGAGGCTAAGATGGGAGAGTCATGAGCTGAGGCCAACCTGGGCTACACAGCAGACATTAGGCTAGTCTTCACAGGATAGCAAGACTATCTCAGAAGAAAGAGGAGGTGGGAGAGGAGCCCGAATCCACCGAGTCTGCTGCAGAGGGCTGTAGAAATCTGCCTCACGTTTAGCTTTGTCTAAGTTGTCAGCCGCTCCAGTGAGAGGAGCCAGGGGATCGCGCTGGAGTGTCCCTGTCTCCCAGCTTGGGTCCAGGGGTCTGCTGACCTTGCCTTCTCCATCCCTAGGATCCACACAGCATCGTCTTCCTCTGTGACCTGCACATCCACTTTCCAGCGGGAATCATCGATGCCATCCGGAAGCACTGTGTGGAGGGCAAGATGGCCTTTGCCCCCATGGTAATGCGGCTGCACTGCGGGGCCTCTCCACAGTGGCCTGAAGGTGAGCCTTGCCCTGGACGAGAGCAGAGGAGATGCCCTCTGACCTCCCTCGGTGTTTACCACCAAGCCTGGGAAGGTTTATGTCTGTCCTGCCTCCCTGTCTTCTCTGAGCTGTGGACAGACCAGGCCCTAGGAGCAGGCAAAGCAGTGGCGCTTTCCCCTCCTCCCCAGCAATGACATTCATGAAGCGTGCTGGATGCTATGCCCAGGAGGTTAGAGAGAAAAAGTAGATGAGAAAACCAACTCACAATGGCCAGAAGGGAGGGCCGGGGTCACATCCTAACTGCCAGGCTACAGCTGGGTTGTGACATCAGTCCACGGTCACTGCTGTGTGGGCTGAACCCCGAGGCTGGGTGGTGTCTTCCCCCAGACAGACCAGGGACTTCCTTAGCTAACAGCTACCTGCCTCTGCTGCCCCACTCTGTACCGTCAGGGCCCACAGGAACATCTGAGCAACATTGCGCATCTGAGCAATGTCTTGTCTGTCCGCAGGCTACTGGGAGGTCAATGGATTTGGACTGCTCGGCATCTACAAGTCAGACCTGGACAAGATTGGGGGCATGAACACCAAGGAGTTCCGAGACCGCTGGGGAGGGGAAGACTGGGAGCTGCTGGACAGGTGACATTGGGGAGGGCCTTCAGGGATCTGCTAGAGTTCCAGTCCTGGGGGCCCTCAGGACAGTAATGCCAGAGCCACAGAACTGTGCTGCAGATTCCCAAGGCTTGGGAAAGTGTACTGGTGCGTAGGAAGTTGGCTTCAGTGACATTCAGGCTGCATATCCAGCAGAGGGGGATGACACTTCCACTGTGTGACACGGTTTGAGTGGTTGGTTGTGTTGTCAGGGATAAAGCAAGAGACTACAGCTAAACAATGAAAACGATAATGTTAACAGGACCAGGTGTGGTGCCCAGGCTAAGATGGGCATTCTCCAGCCCAGGCTGAGATGGGCATTCTGCAGCCCAGGCTGAGATGGGCATTCTGCAGCCCAGGCTGAGATGGGCA